GTCAAATCGAAAGAGTATTTCCTATGAAGGTCTTTCTTTTTAAACTGCTGGTCTATTGTTGTGTCTTTATGAATTAATGCTTCACAGATCACAGGTTCCTTCCCTACAATCTCTGCTGCATCAATCTCATAATTAAGATCTCTATAATACGTCTTGTATGATGCATTACTTCGATCTTGTTCTTCTTCTAGTAATTCTTCATACCTAGACACCTTATAGGTTAATTCCACTAAGTCTATAAACTCAGCTGAGTCAAACTTCTTTTGAAGCCTAAACTCTAGACCATTTTGAGCCAATCTCACAAATTCAGGTTTTGGTAAGATGATTATTTCGTGCTCTTTTAAATCTGTCAATAAACTGAGTAGCCTTCTCATCAGGCCTTTGACTCAATCTTTCCAAATCTGCCATGGAAACCTCTGGCTCTGTTTGGAAGAATTGAGCATAAAATGCCTCTTCCATTTGTTGCCAAGTTTGGATAGAGCCAGGTGTAAGGTTAATATACCATACAAAGGCTGCCCCAGTTGGAGAATTTGGGAACAATCTTAACTTCATATAATCATTGTTGGAAAATTCACCACACTGGGAAGCGAACCTAGCAATATGTTCAATCGTTGACTGGTTTCCATTTCCATAAAAAAGAACGAATTCGGGTACCCTAAACCCCCTTGGGTATTCATGTACCCTATCTATCCATTCTGGATATGGCTTCCTGTACACAAGAGTTTGAACCCCCCGAGCCATTGGTCCACACATCTCTCTAACAATATCAACAATTTGGTCCCTAGGGACCATGTTTTGTGCTTGTTGAACCATTACCGGAGGAACAAACACAGGATTTGATAGACAACCTTGTGCCTGGGGTCCTCTTGGTCCATAGGGTGGCATGTTTGGGACTAGTTGTCCCTGTGGTGCTGGCTGCTGTTGAGGGTATGGATGACCTCTTTGAGCCTGTCCTACAAAAGGATCTGCGAAAGGTGCTGGAACAGGTGTTCTGTCTCTTCTAGTTGTAGGAAAACCTTTCAACCCCCCGGGTATAAATTCAAACAAAGGATTAGTAAACCCCCTCGTGCCAGGTATGGCTTCGAACATGGGATTTGGAACCATCCTTACACCATTATCTTGTGTTGGGCCAGATCCATCAATTTGCATGGCTTCACTGTTAAGTAATAAGGCATTTTGATTTGCCATAGGCCTCGAAAGAGGCTCATACCAAGACTGAGGTGGTGGTCTTTCATAATTTTGGTTACTAGTTTGACCATTAGTATGCCCATTACTCTGCATAAGCTGTTTGTCTCTAGTCAATCTTTGCTGAGGGACATTTGAATTTTCCTCTATATGCCTTGCATTAGTTGGTTGATGAGCATTCATTCGATCCAAAAAGGATGTTGTCCATCTCTCCATTGTGTTCATTAACTGCTGTCCCATGGCATCTACTAGGCCTCCAAATGGATTCATTGGCTGAGGTGATGGAACAGTGGACGGTCCAATTCCTTGGCCTCGTACAAAACTTTGAACGTGTGGTACTTGTTCCGAAGTGCTGGTCTGTTCAACCATGGGTTCTGATACGACAGATGCCTCCATAGGATATGTCATCACATTTTCCTCTAGATTAGGCATTTCTACCTCTCCTTCCACGCCTTCTTCCAAGCGTTCATTTTCTCCTTGTCTCCTATGTCTAGCCATTTTAATTAGTCCCACTGGGAATGCCAAAAATATATGTTGGCTTTTTGGCTTTCGAAGGTTATATTTGTAATTATGAGCGTGCCAGCAAGGATCAATCAGTCCTTACAGAATGTTAATTGCCAACCAATTATCAGACAATTGTGTTTTAGTTCTTTCAGCCTTAGTGAAAAGGATTTTTACTGGCGGCTTTGTTTAGGAAAAATTAAATAAACAACAATTAAAGGAAGGACAATTGTAATATTTCATTAAGTAAAAATGAAAGACTTACAAAGATCCAAGTCAGCCTCGTAGAGGTTTACAGCAACAATCTACTTGAAACTACTCCTATGAACGAAGTGCAGTGCAGGAATTTTAAAGTACAGAAATACAAAGAACAAGAAATGTAAAACTGGAAAGAAAATAAAGTAGATAAAATTGGTTTCTTTGGATTTGAGTCTGGGGGTCTCCTTGAGGCCTTCTCTGCTCTTTATACTTCTTAATGACAACCGTCGAAATGGACTTCTAACCGTCGAACCATCCCTCCATGATCACTGATCATGCTTCCTTGCAGTTAGCTCCACTATGTCATATGCAGTTAGGCTTCCCTCCTAATTTTAAATTTAAATATATGAGTAACCGTTAAGGCCACGTCACTTTACATCTCTTTGTTGATCCAGTACTACGCAGATCTTGTAAGAACCAATACTAACTGCCACGTGTATGATCACGATCGAAGGTTTGAATTGTCTTCCCGTATTGCCCTTAGTTTGCCACGCGTAAAACTGTGATTGGCCCGTACAAAATATATAGCCAACAATAATACATGAAATGCGTGTAATATGCAATGTAAAATCAATTTAAACATTGATAATCAATGTCTTTATGGCACTCGTTAACTAAACCCTTTAAATATAGCTAAGATTCTATTTTGGACTTTATATTTAGGGTTAAATTCATTTTACCTCCTTATGATTTGAGGTTGGAGCACTTCACCTCCTGATCAGTGCCTAAATATACACATTTAATCTCCTAATATACACTTTATTAATTTATTAATTTGTATTAATTTATAATTTTGTATATTTTTGTATATTTATATATATATTAATTGTTTGTATATAAATTAATATAAATAATACTTTTTAACATTTTATATATTATATTATATATATTATAAGATAAAAAAATTAAAAATTAAAAAAAGAGAAGAGAGAGCACACCTCCCATGCCCCTCTTTCTCAATTAGATATCCAACACTGCTACAGACCCCCACTGGGGGTCGACCCCCAGTGACGTGGCACTCCATTATTGGCCAAAAAAAAACTGTTTTCTTTTTTTTTTTTCTTTTGCCATCACCCACAGCCACAATGGGCTGGGTCGCCCCGTACGCCCGCATTTTCCTTAATATCTATACACAAACATTATATTATTATATATTTATATATTATATTATTTATAATTTTAAACAATATATATATTATTTTATTACAATATTATATTACTTATATTATTTTGTTTTGTTTGTTTTGGAGGTGATGGCGTGGAATTTGCCTATAAAAGGCATTCAAGAAGAAGAGAGGAGGGAGGCGGCAGAGGCTTCGGCCAAGGAAGTTAATGGAAGAAAGAGAAATAGAAAAAGAAAGACAGAGTGGGAAGGTTTAAAGTATGTATATTTTATATTGATAGTATATTGTGGAACTAATTTTATTTCTTAGAGCAGAGATAAAACCTTGATCAAATAATTAAGATTTATTATATTTAATATTTTTATTTTTGATTTGATTTGGATAAATTATATAACTTTCAAATATTTTTGTACAATAAATGTTTTATTCAAATCATGTTTAGCTAAATTACAGATTCTCTCCTAAGGTTTAGCTAAATTATCATTTTTAAATAGGATAAATTACAAACACACTTCTTGAGATTTATTTAAATTATAAATTACCCCTTATGATTCTAGAAATTACATTATGCCCTCTAAAGTTTCTAATTTCATAATAAATAAGTCTTTTTATTAATAAATCATCAAGTAATTAACAGTTTTTAATGATGTTAAAATTTTATTTCAATGAATAATTCAGATAATTTTATTATTTTATAGGTAAACAGTTAAAAATTTCACTTTTTCAATTAATTATGTTAAATAAAAAATTCTGACAGTGAGGTATTTATAATTTCCCAAACCACAGGGGGCAATTCGTATTTTAAGCAAACCTCAAGGGGTGTATTTATAATTTACCCTTTTAAAGAAGTTATGAAATGCAAAATTAAAATGGAAAAACACTTATCACACTACAAAAAATTAAGATTTTAAAGACCAAAATTTAGGGACAATTATTTTTAGGGGACCAAATATTTTTATTGTAAAAAGTGTCGTTATTATATTTTTAGCAACGAAAATTGAACATTAGTGATTAATTATTATCTTTTTGGTATCAAATTTTTTATCTCAAATAATAAACCATTTTGAGACCAAATTATTTTGTTCCTAAAAGTCTATTTATCATTGACATTTTCAAAATTTTATCACTAAAAATTTTATTTTTGACTTTTCAAGGCAATCTTTTAGTGACTATCCTCACGACTATAGAAATTAGTCCCTAAATGCCTTTTGCAACAAAATTTTCACTTTTATGGATCAAAGAATTAGTTTCTAAAACACTTATATGTTGTAGTGTCAGATGGTGAAAATACCATAAAATTAGCAAATAATTAAATAAGTTAAAAACACAAGAAATGGCTAGTCAAAAAATTCTTAAAATATGTTTGGTTTGATTTTTGGAAATTTTTTATAAAAAAAATTAAAAATTAATTTGGTTAAGAAATAAAAAATAAAAAATTATTATTAGTTTTATATAATTTTATCTTTTGGGTGGTTAGAAATAATTTTTACAAGTTGAATATATTTTTTTCATATTTATTTTTATTAAATTAGTTTTTTTTTAAATTCTAAAATTTTTCTAAACAACAAATCAAACTTGGTTCCAAAAACTTAAAAAAAAAATTCCATCTAACGTAATTCTTTTGTAAATTTTGTTGATTTATCAAAGGGATTTCAGCAGGGGTAATATCGTCTATTAATTTATATTTTGGTGATGTCAGCTAACCATTCTTAACGTTTAGTTAATGGTAGGAGTTAAATTGTTATGCGAATATAAACCTCGGAAGGCAGGATATAATTTCTGAAACCTCGGGAGTGAATCTATAATTTAGCTAAATCTCAAGAAAAGTGTAGATAATTTGCTTCCTCTTTTTTTTTTTTGTTTTAAAGCAAACGATATGTTTTTTTTTAAAGCAAACGATATGTGAATCTCTATAACAAATGATCGTGTGTATGGAAAAACTCATTTTATTTAAAACATGCCCCTAAATTCAAATGAAAGGGATAGTTATTACAATAGAGATGATTAAGAGAGTGCCAATACAAGTCAACTTCAAGTTTAACAACATTAATAGTACTAGCCACCAACAACAATATGCTAAATCAAAACAAACCACCTAACTTTTCTTTAGTAATTTGATCTAGGCGCTCAGTCATTTGGGCTGTTAAATGGTTCTTCCAATCTCCAATTTGACCTTTCCTAAAGAACACATCACCCTTGATACCGTAGTGCAGAGTTCCATTTTTGTTCACCTCCAAATTACTCAAATTCTCAAAACTACACAGTTCAACAATTCCCTGCACAATCCCTTTACTCTCTTCCTCCAAAGAGAAAGGTTGGCCCAAAAACTCAGCCAATTTCTTTACATGAATAGGTGTATCCCTTCTCATGTCCTCATAATTCAAGAACAACACGCTCTCAGGACAAGCCAAACTTGCTTTCCAATATCCCAACACATGATCCCAAAAAGGTCCATATGAAGAGATCCCTTCGCAAAACATGTCAAAGGCCTCTTCTAGAGAAAGAGATGAACATGGTAGATTATTGGTTTTCAACTTAGTTGTGAAGTGCCACATAGAGGTGAACACATCTTTTGGGTTTCGACAAACGTACACTATTCGACAACCAGAATTTTGAATAGACTCAGACAACAAAGTATAAGGGATGTGACTAGAAAAGAGGCGAGGCGAGGGCAAGTCCTCAACATCTGCAATGGGAGGTGTCCTCAAAAGTATTTCTAAGAATGGAACACAATCATGGGGGTTAGTGGTGAGTAGCGGATGAACAACAGACATGCTATTGTAACTAGTTCTCTTCATGATTGCAAAAGCAATGGCTTTAAGCCATGTTGTGCCAGATTTAGGTGAGGAGATCAAGAGAACATCAGTAGGTCGAGGCTTAAAATGTTGTTGAATAAACATGACACCTGCTAGATTATACGTGGGGTCAAACCAAAAACCTTGGTACTGACAGAGATGCGGACTTATCCAACCCTTTTCTTTTGAAAGAGTTGAGATTACTTCCTTATAGCTTTTGTAGATTCTCTCAATCTTTTCGATTTCCTCATCCTTGTGATCTTCTTCGTTGCTAGTTTTGCTCAAGGATGAACTTTGGGAGGGAAGAATGGTTGCCATAGCAAGATAAGAACTAGATCTGTGGTAAATACAAAAGTTCTAGAATGTTAGAAACGGAAAGAAATGACATGCTTTTATGTTAAACGAAATTTCATAACACTTGCCAAAGGAAAAAAAAAGAGTAGGAAAGGCTTACAATGGTAGGAGAGCACAAGAACAGAAAGGTCTTGATTATAAAGATAGAAAGTACAATATATGCCAAGCCTTTGTGTGTATTTATAACATTGATTGCAAATATATTTATCAATTTAATTATAACTTTATTCTAAATATATATATATATATATATATATATATAAATTTAAAATGGTGCATGGTACAAGTTACGTGCTTAGTGTATATATAAATATCGTCGTGCAAATCTCATTTGGAGACATTAAAATCAACTTTAAACATTAGGGCAAATTACTTACACTTCCCTTGAGATTTAATAAAATTACAAATCTTCTCTTGAGGTTTCAAAAATTATATCCCGTCCCGTTGCAATTAACGTCGTTAACGGATATCATAAATTAACTAAAATGCCCTTTTGACAAATAAGGACAAATTACCTACACCCCTTTGAGGTTTAGCTAAATTACAGATCTCCCCTGAGATTTAGCTAAATCACAAATTCTTTCTTAAGATTTAGCTAAATTATCATTTTTAAATAAGTTATGACATGCAAAATTAAAATGGAAAAACACTTATCACACTACAAAAAATTAAGGTTTTAAAGACCAAAATTTAGGGACAAAAATTTTTTTAGGAGACCAAATATTTTTGTTGCGAAAAGTGTCATTTTTATATTTTTAGCAATGAAAATTGAACATTATTGATTAATTATTATCGTTTTGGTATCAAATTTTTTGTCTCAAAAAATAAACTATTTTGAGACCAAATTGTTTTGTCCCTAAAAGTTTATTTATTATTGATGTTTTCAAAATTTTATCACTAAAAGCATTATTTTTGACTTTTTAGGGCGACATTTTAGCGATTCTCCTCACGATAATAGAAATTAGTCCCTAAATATTTTTTGCGGCAAAATTTTGACTTTTAGAGATCAACAAAATTGGTCTCTAAAACTCTTTTATGTTGTAGTGTCAGATGGTGAAAATATTATAAAATTAACAAATAATTAAATAAGTTAAAAGCACAAGAAATAACTAACAAGGAATGGTTTGTCAAAAAATTCTTAGAATATGTTTGGTTTGATTTTTAGAAATTTATTTTTAATTTTTAAAAAAAAAATTAAAAATTAATTTGGTTAAGAAATAAAAAATAAATTTTTTTTTTTTGTATATAATTTTATCTTTTGAGTGGTTAGAAATAATTTTACAAATTAAATATGTTTTTTTATATTTATTTTTTTTAAATTCTAAATTTTTTTTCTAAACAACAAATTAAACATGATTCCAAAAACTTAATTTTTGTTTCCCAACTAACGTAATTCTTTTGTAAATTTTGTTGATTTATCAAAGGAATTTCAACAACGGCAATATCGTCTATCAACTTATATTTTGATAATGTCAGCTAACCATTCTTAACGTTTAGTTAACGGTAAGTTAACGGTAGGGGTTAAATAGTTATGCAAATATAAACTTCGGAGGGCGGGATGTAATTTCTGAAACCCTCAGAGAGAATCTGTAATTTAGCTAGACCTCAAGGGAGGTGCAGGTAATTTGTCCTAAATTATATTTTATTTTTATTTTTATTTTTTTTTCTAGTTTTTTTTTTTTTTTTTTTTTTTTTGATATGGACAATTTATAAAGGGTTTCCTTGGTGACAGCAAAAATTTTAGTTTTTGAGTAGTGAGAATGTGGATTTGAGTTTGAGAACAGTTGGTTTTGTGCTAATCTGTTGTTTTATTCCTCCTAACACTGGATTGGCCTCGTTTGAAAGTATATTATTTTAATAATTTTTTGATTTTTTTATTAAAAAAAAAATGATGGAATAACTTATATTGATTTTTTAATTAAAATATATAATTTTTTTTCTTAAAATATTTAATTTCTAAACGAGGCATGGTAAATGATTCAAAGCTAGGATGATTTCATTGGATGTACCGAAATTAAAAAACCATAGATGGGTCAACAATAACATATAATTATCTCTCAATATAAGCAGAAAATAAAATACGAGTTCTCTCTCTAGAATCTAGAGAGAGAAGAGTCCCCCCGGGTGTAACAATGGTGTATTTGCTATCATCTCAGGTTGTGAGAGTGAGAGTGAGCTGGTGAGTTGGTGCTTCTTTCATCATCTCATCTCAGGCTGGTTGCTTCTACGAATTTGTGGAGAGAGAGAGAGATAGATTTCCCCACTTTACTGGAGTTTTCGATTTTGGATGGTTTATAAATCGGTTTAATCTATCCGTATGTATGCGATTTGGGGAAAATTTAATCTGTAACTGCCCGCAATGCGGGTTTTGGTTTGTGCGGATAAGGTTCGCGCGGATAGGATTCGCGGATGTGCGGATGGTTGCGGGCAATTTGCAAATTAGACTTTTTTCTTTAAAAATCTATTTTTGAGCCTTTTTTTTCCTACTTTGTAAATATTTATTTTGGATCTTTTTTTTTGCATTTTCTAAAATGTTCTAACATTAATAATTAATGAATTAAAACTGATAAAATTAAAAACACAATAAAATCAATTCCAAACACAACAAAATCAATTCTTAACACAAACAAATCATTCAAAATCATAAACTTTTAAATCAATTCATAAATTAACACAAACACAAACACAAATACATCTTTCAAAGTCTTAAATTAGATCATCAATCTCATTCACTATCGGCTACCTAACAATATAAAATCCTAAACTTGCTTAAAAGTAACTCTTCATTAATTTTTACATTCATCTAAAATGCAATAATAAAAATAACAACGGTCCAGGTTAAAAAAAAAAAAGTCTAAGTGCGTGAAAAAAAAAAGTGTAAGCGGGTTTTTGCGGGTGCGGCTTAAACCTGCAACCCGCAATCATGCTATATTTCAAACTGTATTCACTTGTATTATGTCTGTAAAACTGTCAATTTGTATGCATATCGATTCGAGTTGAGCAGGTTAAGCGTTTTGAATAATCCTAAACTCAACCCTAACTGGTATGGGTTATTTTGGCCCATGCTTCCTTGATCAGAACGTGGGTTGTTTTTTGTTTACTGATTGTTCTGCTCAAGATGAATAGCATGTGGGTTCATGGGAAATATAAGAGCCCTGCTACAGACCTCAGCACCCCCTCACTTTCATTAGGGCGTTCGCAGTTTGGTTGTATCCAGAAAACTTTTAATTTGTCATCCATCTGTTGGATGGGTAGATTGAAAAAAATCAATCCACATCCGTTCGTCATATTGACAAATATGAATTGAGTGAATTGACGGATGGATGCAAATCACTTTAGCGGTTTAAACTTTTATAAATTTTGAACGTAAAATAACTTGTCAATATTTTTTTGGATAACAGTCCAACTAAATATAACCAAAAGATTATCAAATAAATTATTAAATACAAATAATAAATATATATAAGAAAACCATGCATTATCAAAACTATTTCATTACTTGTTTTTATTCAAAAAATATATAATTTGATTTTTTTTTTAAATAACAAAATTAAGCCTTATATTTTTTATATTAAAATACCAAATATCAATCCTTGTCATTTGATAAAGAATTTTCAAATTGAAAATAAATTGAAAACATAATAGAATATCTAAACTATTTTTCAATTGAGAATATAAATAGAATATCTAAACAAATTGAAAATGTAAAATCTCACAAATTATTAAGAGTACTCGCAGTTTGGCGATTCGATTGTGGCCAAAAGAATTTCAAATTCGTCATCTGTTTAAAATTTAAAAAATTGTAAAAAATTAATTTATAATTGTCCGCCCGTCATTACTTATCTATCTAAAATATGACAGATTAATTCAATCCAATCAATTTAAACGAATCAAAATATTCGCTGTTCATTCGTAACACATTCGATTGTGGCCAAAAGAATTTCAAATTCGTCATCTGTTTAAAATTTAAAAAATTGTAAAAAATTAATTTATAATTGTCCGCCCGTCATTACTTATCTATCTAAAATATGACAGATTAATTCGATCCAATCAATTTAAACGAATCAAAATATTCATTGTTCATTCGTAACACTCACACATTTGTGAGAGAAAGGAAGGAGGGAGGGAAAATAATAATAATAATAATAATCTATACTATTATAAAGTAGGGAAAATAATAATAATAATAATAATCTATACTATTATAAAGTGAACACCTCTTATGGTGTTCTGAAACTTTACTCTCCTTATGCCATGTGGCAGTATTTTTTATTTTTTTAAAAAAAGTTAAACAAAGAGATGGGCAAGTCATTTACTCTCCTCATGCCATGTGGCAGTATTTTTTATTTTTTGAAAAAAAGTTAAACAAAGAGATAGGCAAGGCTTGAACCCATGACCATGAGTTTAAGTACGAGGACTCATACCACTTAAGCTAAGTACACATTATAATATTAATTTCATTATTATTTTTTTTTATTCCTACTTATTTAAATTACACACACATGCCACCACTAGTAATAATAATATGTGATCACACATTAATTTAGCAGCAATGATTCATCCCACTAAAAACATCACCACTAATAGCACTAATGCATTTAAAAAGTAAAAAAAAAAAAATACAATTTCAAGACTAAAACATCACATCATTAATAGCGGGACCCACTACCACCTAATTAATGGAAGCACTAATTAATACTCTCAAGCATTTTTCTTAATTTAGAGGTGCAAGGATCGAAAATTGTGGGGTCCAAGTATTTTATGGAAGATGCGGTTGATACCATGTGTGGAGCGCGCTTCACGTGCTGCTGTGAATATGTAGTATGGCCTTGTATGATCAAGGGGAGTGGCACGTGGGTTCATGCGGAAGATAAATAGGTTGTTGACTCATTGTGTGTGGAGGCCGCTTCACGTGCTGCTGCGAATATGCAGTCTGGCCTTGTATTTTTTTTTTAATTTTCTTTTTTTGACAGATTACCAACCCAAATTAGATATTCTTTTATGAAGTTTTAAAAGTTATATCTCATTTTATTACAATTAACGTCGTTAGTGGATATTATAAATAGATTAAAATATCTTTTTAATAAATAAAGACAAATTATTTATACCTTCTTAAAATTTAATTAAATTACAAAATTTTTTTTGAGATTTAGCTAAACTACAGATTCTCCT